TGGCATAATGAGAAGTAACAGGACTGGTATCAAAGCCCCATGTAGCCATAGTTTTACTGAGAATTATGACCTTGGTCAAGTCCTTTTATCCCCCTGAGCTTCATTTTTCTAATTAGTAAAATTAATGGGGGAGAGGCGGGAAAGTAGATGAACCCACTGGTCAGTGGCTGACTCATGGAAAGTATCACCATCCTATTCCTCACCCCATGCTCGTTCTCCAGCCCAATGCCTTGTGGATATAAGCATGCGGTATGTCATTCTTAACCTTCTTTGATTTTAATTCTCTCTCTCTCTCTCTCTCTCTCTCTCTCTCTCTCTCTCTCTCTCTCTCTCTCTCTCACACACACACACACACACACACACACACACACACAAGAACATTTTGCTCTTTTCAAAACAGAATTCACAATCTAGTTAGCCAGATGTGGCTGGCAAAGGTCTTGTCTTTGCCCCACAGGGTTTCAACAAAATTCTGACTAAAGGAAACGGAACATAACAATCTAGGTGTTCAGTTGGCACTGCAGTGCTCTTGGGAAATACCTGCTAGCGCTGAATTGTTTCACCCTCCTGAAAGTTCTCCTCAGCCCCCGTCACCCCTGGAGATGACGCTGACATCGAGACTGAATGTTGGTTGCCCTTTCACCTCATGCTTATTGTTGCTTTTATATAATAGAGAAACGTTTCTTCTTTCTCTAGCCTCCATTGAAAGGAGGGAAAGAAAAGAAAGCCCTAGAGGCTGCTAGTTGGAAGGAAATGGGGAGAAGCGCTTTTCTTTGCGAAGGTGTTTATGCCAGACCTGGACACGTTCCGTGACTTACCTTCCCACCCTGGCTGGCCCCTTCGCCCACTGGAAACTTTGCCCCCTGCTTTAGGAGATCCTAACTGCCATTCTAGAACGCATACAGTAGAAAGATGCCAAGCCTACTTAAGGCTTTTTTATTTAAAAGTCATTTAACTTCTCTGGACTTCAGCGTTCTCCTAACTTCATGTAATGCAAATGCTGGACTAAGCAAGCTCTAAGGTGCCTCTTAGCTTAAAATGCTGTGATTTTAATGTTTTACTGCTCACGAGGAAGCCACCACCACATTACTCTGACAAATATGCGCCCTGTTAGAAGCAGGTGCCGTGTCTGTCCTCCAACCTCAGGCAGATTCCAGTGTCTGTATCCGTCGTTTTTCATATGAACAGTATATACCATGGATACCAAAGCTGCACAATGAACACTCCGGTCAGATTCAACAAGCACCTTTAAAATGTATTCATGTTGTGCATTTGTAGCTTCAAACTGATGAAGTCATGACCCTGCAGGTCCTCATCCATTGTGAGCTCTTCTTCAAAGTCTTCAGTGCTAATAATCGCTAAAGTACTAAAGTAGAGTCGAGTGTAGCACCAGAAGAAAGCTGATCTCATTCTCATAAACGCCAACATGATTTTTGAGTGAGAATTAAATAAACGGAGTGATAGGTTCCTGTGTAGAATTCTCATAGTGGCTTCCACACTTAGAGGTTCTGATTTAATTGCTCTGGAAAGAAGGAATTTTAGAACACCTCAAATGATGCTAATGTGAAAACACTAGTCTAATAAAAACTTTGGTTTGTAGCCTATGAACAATGGCCGGATTACCAGACAAAAGGTTGACAAGGCACCACAGTGACGTCAATGTGTCATAGCTTTCTGAGTGTGTCTGGTTTTCATTCAGAATCTAAAATGCTTGATTATATCATATAAGTCCCTATCAGTGGTGGACAATGGAGAAGTCTGGGGGGAATAATATAACACTATGTTGTAAAAAATAAATCTTTGGTGATTATTTTCTGATATGGGCTAAAGAGTTTCCTATTAGAGGACTTTCATCCGGATTTATTCTTTAGCATAATTTTTATGCTAATACATGATATGCATTTTGGTTAGCTAAAGAAAATGGTGTTAAACTTAACTCAAAAAGTAGAATATTAAACTGCATAATAGTTTTGGGTCTTGCAGAAAGTAAATGTTCACCTCCCTTCAAAGAAAAGGAGCTATAACTTTTAGAACCCTTATAAATGAACTACATCTAATAGTTCCTTCTCTGTTCTTCCATATGTTCACAGATCCCTTCTACATATGGTAAAAAGGGGTCACAAAGAAGGAAGTGACTCTAGGATTTATCTAACTCTGCACTTTTATTTTACACACAAGCAAATTAAGGTGCTTAATCACAATCGATTGTCCCTGTTAGTAGATGGCAGAACCAGAAGTGGAATTCATGTCCAGTATTCTAGTCTAGGGTTCCTTCTTCTATGTCATCAGATTCCCACAAGTTCTCCTTTTTCTGTGAAACACCCATTCTGCCATCTTTATTTGTTCTATAACTTCAGCTGAAAGGATACATACTGACAAGTCTTATGACTAATGATTCTTGAATGCTGTGGTATCTTTGAATGTGATATGTATATCCTAGTTTACAATGTAAGCAGTCAGTGCAGGGTTGCTTGGATTTCTCTATAATTAGCTTCCAAAATAATACGCGCAGACCACTATGCCAGTGCATGCCAGAAGTGAATATGTTGATCGCATCTTTGGTTGATGATTATGGTCTTCTACTGCTGTTATACTAATACTTTTCCCATCTCCAACTGGCTTTACTTTTGCAGCTTTGAGCAGTAATTCAGTCCCCTACGCCTCCCTGATTGGCTCTGTGTCCTCCCTCTCTAGCCAAACCACCACTCAGTCCATATATGATAATAACTCTCTCCCACGATTCGCTCGAAAAGGTCTAAACATCTTTGTCTCTGTTATTTTCTCTGTTAAAGCACTGTAATGGATGTTCACATTATTCCATTTCCATTTCCAGACAAGCCTACAGTCTCGTGCCTTTGCATCTCCATTCTTGCCACTGGGGGTGCCTCATCTGGATAAGATCACTTTAATTACCAGACCGCTGTCACCCACCCCTGCCTTCCGCAGAATGTAAATTAGTTCAATGCTATCATCTATAGGGGAAAGTTCCAGAAATGGGCTCCAACATTTTGGTCCAAATGCATAATTATATCAGCAACAAATTCTACTTCTGAACCGACTCATTTTTATTGAGTCTGCTATTAAGATTTTAACTAACTGGAAGCAGTCCTTCGTGGCCAAACATGCTACCACACCAAAATTTAGAACACTGTACTACAATGATGATCTAGAACAGTGATGGCGAACCTTTTGAGCTCGGTGTGTCAGCATTTTGAAAAACCCTAACCTAACTCTGGTGCCGTGTCACATATAGAAATTTTTTGATATTTGCAACCATAGTAAAACAAAGACATATTTTTGATATTTATTTTGTATATGTAAATGCCATTTAACAAAGAAAAATCAACCAAAAAAATGAGTTCGCGTGTCACCTCTGACACGCGTGTCATAGGTTCGCCATCACTGATCTAGAAGAATCAAAGTAGTTCTCTGTTTAACTTGCCGGAACTATTGATAATTTGGCATTTGCGATAAAGGAACTTACTGGGTGACTTTCAATAATGGCATAATGTCTAAAATGCCCATGAAGTAATCACATGTCATGTTGACTTAATGGTCACCGTTCCACAGGCTAACACCCTCCAAGGAGTCCCAGGGACAGCCGACTGTCAACATGACTTCCAGTTTGAGCCCCTCTCTCACTCTCTGTCTGCTTCCGAGGCTTCCCTGGGGGCATGCTAGTTCAGGTGTTTCTAGCCAGTTGGAATGTGTATCGATAAGACATGAGTTAGCAGGTTCTTTCTCATGTTACTCTTAAAAAATGAATCCGAAAGAAATACAATGCAAATCATATGAAAAGGTCAGAAAACATTGGAAAGACACAGGAATCGTCAAAATTAGCAGTGGATTATTTTGAACTGAATCCGTGGAACTGATATTCTTCAGCTGGCAGACTGAACTATGCTGGGCCTGCCACCACCCCCACCACCCCCACCCCGACAGGACTTTCTTTCTTTTTTCACCTTTTCCCCTCCTTGTTCTTTCACTAGATTCATTTCGCATGAGTGGACAAAGATGTTTACACCTGGGGTAGATTGTAGGTTTACTGGGGGTCGAATAATGGAACATAGGTCGTAAAATACCACAACGCCTAGTGTGGGCCATTTGTAAATGCCCAGGAGAAGGTCACAACCCCAGCTTCTACAATCTGCTGCTAGTGGAAACATTTTTGCACCTTAGTTTGGTGTCTGATTTTGTCATCGGTGATTATTATTTATGAGCTGTGATGCATGCTATTCTTTGCGCCCATGTTTGCACGTGAATGTCAGTCACCTACAGATTTGTGAAGTATTAAAGCGATCTTCATCGAGTCACAATGTATAAGTGAATCCTGTAAAAAGTTGCTGCATTTTTATTAATCCCTTTTAAAAAGTATACCAGGCTATACATTTCATTTTTTTTTTTTACAAACTCGTTCTATTTTGTTTTATTTACACCATCATTTCCTTTGCAGGTTCAGATGATTCCGGTTACCCTGGTAACCTTCATTGGTCAAGTTAGTTTTCCTTGATTATGCATAAGTCACTTTATGTTTCCTATCAAGCTACTCCTCTTTCCCTTTTAGGCCTTCTCAGTGTCCGTTTTCTTAGTTCACTTTACACCATTTAATTCCACACAATTTCCATTTCACACAGTGCAGGAGAAGGAGTTTGAAATGACCTAATAGTCATTACTCAAAGCAGAAGTTGACATCAAGCCTGACTGCCAGTTTTCTCCACTAGCTAACCGCATCGGTTCATAGCACAGTAATGCTTTCTTTTACACCAGGAGTGTTAGTATGGGGACTGTGCTGGGTGGCTTTTCATTTGGCTACAAAATTCATTCTTCCAGAGCATGTCCTGCTTTGAGTAACCAAACTATCTGCCTGCTTCCTCACATAAAACATCCTTACTACTCACACATTTTTCAGGCCATTTCTAACTATAGCATTTTCTATATTTTGGAATTATTAGCATCACTTTTATTGGTTTTCAAATGTGTTTCTTCTTTCCTTTCTCTAGGTATGGCTAGTCACCCTCCAATACCTATCTTGGAACTTGCAGATCATATTGAAAGGTTGAAAGCAAATGACAACCTGAAGTTTTCCCAGGAATATGAGGTAAGTCGGTGTGTCGATACTTGACAGTAATCTCTTCTTTGGAACCATATTCTTGAGAATTAACTTTATCAGTGCCTTTTCTTTTCATTGTGACTCATAATCTGACCTAAAAGTTTGTAACAAGTAGCCAACCTGAAAGTGTCTGTACAATCCATACAGTGGTTATACTTTTAAAGGACGTTTAATATGTTACGTGTGTTCAGTGTTACTTGGTGAAGTTGATTTATCTTTTCTGGTTTTACATTCATGGAATGTACTGAATTAATAAGCTTCCCAGTGTACCAAATGGGGGCCAAATACACTGATTCCTGGTGATAATCCTCACTGAGAAAGAGAGACTACAGGGAGTAGGAGCTTTCTCAGGACTCATAATTGTGCATGGCCTGAAAACGCTGTAACGATGGACTCATGATTGTGCATGATTTTATCCTTCCGTCTAGAATAGTACTGTTTTAACATTAAGATAGTCACGTGTTCTCAGAAAATTACCTGTTTTGAAGTAATGGTGAACTGAATGGTCTCTTAAAATTTCAGAATTTGCAAAAGTGCTTTGTGAAAGTAAATGAAAAGTCTGTGTGTGTGTGTGTGTGTGTGTGGATATTGTGGCATTTGTCAAGCAGAAGTTGCAAAACTGGGTATTTCTTGTATTCCCAAAGAACAGGGACCCATATTAAAGCCAATTCATGAGTTATGGATAACCAAACATTATTCTTTTAGGCCCGATTTAACTTAGCATAAGATTGCCATGTACAACTAGAATCTTGCAGTTGTGCCACGCAACAAAAGGTTGTTGAGTGCCTGAGCAGCCCAAATTCTACCAGAGAGTTTCTACTGATGACTTAGCATCTTGAAACACATCTCTGTTACCTCTCCTGGTTTCTGTTGCATTAACCTTAAGTGAGGATGTTGGACAAGATGATCTGTCCTTCCCTACCAACTCTAACAATCTGCCCTCTCACGTGTGGTGAGAAACTCTAACGGGAGCCCCAGCCTCATGTGGCAAGAGGGTTATTAACATAGGAAGAAGCTCCGTGTAAGAGAATGAGGAGTAGTGAGGCCTGTGGCAATCTGGATATTTGCATGAACTTTCTAAAGTCTTCAACTCTTTCACTTTTGATTATTTTAAATTACTGTACTGGCTAATTAAAACATAACTGTAGCTAGCCCCTTGCACTTCCACACTGGAGAGCTGGATAGCCTTTTATTCAATTAGACTCCTCCAACATCTTTGTCAAATATTTGATAGAACACAAAAGGAATTTTGTCCGATTTTTTGTTTGTTCGTTTTGTTTGAGTTTTTTAATGTTTATTTGTTTTGGAGTAGTTTTTGTTTGTTTGTGCTCATTGTTTAAATCATTTTTTTAAATTCTGTTCCAAGTATTCAGGAGAACATTTTCAATTTTATGAAACTCACCTTGGATTATGAAATGTCTTATTTTACCAAGTGGTCCCCTTATTTTTCCCTTGTTCTTCCTCTCGGCCATAATGGCTCTTTTAAACTTAATGCAGTATTCTTTAAAGCAGTTTCTGTAGATTTTGATTAAGGCTGCAAATTGAGTTTAAAGCAAAAAAAAAAATGAAGACATATGAGGAATGCCACGTGGGGCAGCATATAAACTTAGTGAAGCATTAGTTTTCACCAACCAGAAGTCTTTCTCCTTTGCAACCTGCTCTTTATCATTATCAGGATTCTTCTCATTGCTTTGCTATGTGATTTTCTTCATGGTTCCCCTGTAATACTTTATTCGCAATTATGAATATCATAATGAGCCATAAAAATTAAAATTTAATAGCTTACCCCGTTAATAAGCCACTAATTCGCTATCAATATCACTTTAAAACTATTGCCCTAACCGGTTTGGCTCAGTGGCTAGAGCGTCGGCCTGCGGACTGAAAGGTCCCAGGTTCGATTCCGGTCAAGGGCATGTACCTTGGTTGCGGGCACATCCCCAGTGGGAGGTGTGCAGGAGGCAGCTGATCAATCTTTCTCTCCCATTGATGTTTCTAACTCTCTATCCCTCTCCCTTCCTCTCTGCAAAAAATCAATAAAATATATTTTTTTAAAAACAAAAAAAACTATTGACAATATTTGCATCACTCAAGCAATTTCAGTTGTGTGCACTGACTACAATCGCTGGTCTTTACATTGAAATTCTCCAGAAATGCTACATGTAAATATCCTGTAATGATACTCATTTAGCCGTTAGATCAGAAGTGCTCCTTGAAAGTAGTTATGCGAACCGCATGCTGGCAATGCTCCCGTTAAAAACTCCCCCAGTAGCCATTGCCATGATAGCTTACACTGACTCTACCCTTTGTCATGACCATGATCTGTGATTAAAGCTCCCTGGGCATGAATTGAGTCTACTGTGCTTTAACAGCCATGAAGGAGATACTTAAGTGTTGTGTTCATCTGGGATAATAGGATAAAGGCTTCTGCATAATATTTTAGGTCACAGAGCAACACTTTGAAAAAAAGTTACATATTATTACCCAAATAAGTATGAATACATTTCTTTACTGATTTTCAATGAAGAAACTGAAGGAAAGACAAGTCACATTACTTTCAAACATCTCATTATTTTGTCAGAATCACTATAGATTAATGTTTACTCTGACCTCTCAAGATGCATGAAGATAGATTTGTTATCCTAAGACTAAAACAGATTAAAGGTACGAAAGCTGTTAGCACTGATCCCAGGTCAGAATAGGAGGAAGTGGGTTGAAATGGTAGAACAGCATTATTAGATCATGTGAGAGAATTGCTTTCCTGTCAAGAAAACTGGGCTCAGACTTTGGATACAACAACAGCTGGAAGAAGGGACCTGAGACATTAGTATAACTTCATCTTGAAGGTCTTTACGAATACGTTGGGTTTTCATTTTGTGATATGAGACTGCAAAATTCTACTGGAATTTAAGCAGCCAGAATTTGAGGATGGCATATTGAATGCAGGGAATAAAGTCCTCCTTAAAGTTGGTGTCCCTGTCAAAGTCAATGCTTTAGGTGGTGAATTTTCAGACTTATTCAGAATACTATGTGTAAGTCTTGCTAAACAAAGTCTTTGCTAATGCCCATGGACATCTGGAAACCTAATTAAAACTGATTTCTGTTCCCAGTGCTGGAAATGCTCATTCAGTAGGTCAGCTGTGGTAGCCAGGAACATCCATTTTATTTATTTTCCCCCAGTTTTATTGAAACATAATTGACATATAAAATTGTATTCGTTTAGGAAATACAACATAATGATTGGCCGTATGTATATATTGCAAAATGATTAGTACAGTAAGTTTACTATATCAATTTACATCATTACCATTTTTTTTCTTGTGATGAGAACTCTTAAAATCTCTCTCAGCAATTTTCACATATACAATATAGTATTGTTAATGCTTTTCATCATAGTGTCCATTACATCTCAGGACTTATTTATCTTGTAAAAGGAATTTCATATGTTTTAACCACCTTTACCCATGTCCCACACCTCTAACCCCCTGCTTCTGGCAACCACCCTTCTGTTTTCTGTTTCTGTGAGTTCAGTTTTTTGTGTTTTTCTACATTGCACATGTATGTGAGGTCATACAATATTTATCTTCCTTTGTCTGGATTATTATATTTAGCATAATGTCCACATAGTCCATTCATGTGTGTGTAAGTGGCAGAATTTCCTACTTTTTATGACTGAATAATTTCATTGTATATATACCATACTGTTTGATCCATTCATCCAGCAATACACATTAGGTTGTTTCCATGGCTAAGCTATTATAAATAATGCTGTAGTAGGCATGGAGGTACAATATCTTTTCAAGATAGTGATGTTGTTTTCTTTGGTTGTATACCCAGAAGTGGATTACTAAGTCATACAGTAGCTCCATTTTAATTTTTAGAGAAACATCTATACTATTTTTCATAAGGACAGCACCAATTTATATTCCCACCAACAGTGCTCAAGGGTTTCCTGTTCTTCACATCCTTGCCATTTCTTATTTCTTGTCTTTTTGATGGCAGCCTGTCTAACTGGTGTGCTATCTCATTGGGCTTTTGATTTGCCTTTCCCAGATATTAGTGATGTTGAGCCTCTTTCCTTGGGCCTGTTGGCCATTTGTGTGCCTTCTTTGGAAAAATGTCTATTCAGTTCCTTTGCCCATTTTTAAATCAAATTGTTTGGTTATTTGCTATTGAGTTGTATGAGTTCGTTAGATATTTTGGTTAGTAACTCCTTATTAGATATACAGTTTGGAACTAATGTCTCACTGGGAATATCCATTTTGAAAGAGTACTTCAGGTGACTTTGGTGTAGGTAATCTGAGGACTTCAGTTGGAGAACCATCATTGGTTTAGGATAATGTATTACAGAACATGACCCTCCAATCTTGATTTCACCATTTACTGAGATGGCTGATAAGCCAGTATGTGAGATTCATTTGACAGGCATCACAGTTAGCATTGTCATTATTAACATTATATACATAAATCCTATTTATATTAAATTGGTTGTAAATAACTACAGTCCATAATTTTCATTAGGGAGAACAAAGGGGAGTTCATTTTAATTATAAATTACTTATTGTAAATTCATTTTTAATAAGGCCAACAGTACAAGGGTGCTTTAAGAACTGTTATCAGGACCTAGAAGATTGTTGAGATTTCTGGTCATCATCTCTGGAACTCTCACCTTTGTGTTTCTCTGGGCTAGCTTCATTTTTCCTCCTGTTTCTTGCTTCTCTTATTCGCATATATAAAATATGGTTCAGATAATACTTTTATTCACATAGAGGCCCCCCTCCAAAGAAGAGACAACATTTTTTCTTGCCAGTCCAATTCCAAACGCCTGAGAACAAACTCTGAATTCCAACTCACTCATGTGTTGTGGAGACACACATTAGGACACCCCTGCTGACAGCACGTCCATCTAGATCTGGCCCCTTCCCCCTTCCTTGGATTGGAGAGAGGCTCTGAACTGGAAGGACGGACTGACAGTGATCCACATATTACCA